CTCGCGCTTGGTTAATAAGATATATATATTTTGTACATGTGAAAGTAGGATAACAGTTAACGCGTATAACTCCTTGAGGAATTATGTATATGACCGTAAAAAATTCATAACTACTTGTTGGCAAAATGTACGTACAGATATGTGATAAAGAGAAAAAGTTCCATTATCAGTTTCTGTTTTCTTTTTGTAGGTATGGCCCTTCTTTAGATGCATTTGTCAAACACTCTTTTCAAGGAAGAGGATAGTGGAAAGCAGGAATGTCTAAAGAAGGCTTTGAAAATCCTTGAACATAGCCAGCATAGTCTAAGAGGGAAGAGGGTGACATTTATTTGTGGAGATTCAGGTGAGATCTATCAATGGAAAGAATATTTGATCTGTTCATTTAGAAGTCGATTTAAACCTCATTTATTTCTGTACTGCAATCAAACTCATAACAAAATGATTTTGAATTCTGACAGTTTGTGGTTAGATTTACCATAGGTTGTGAAGTCAGTTTCAGCTCTGATCATTAGTAGTAGAGTCAAGTGCATCATGTATCACTGACCATAATTACCTCTGTTATCACTCAAAGTTATCCCTGACGAGTTTGACTAATGGTCGTGGGTCGTGGGTACAAGTCGTGGGTCGTGGGTCGTGGGTGTGGGTAAAAGTCGTGGGTGTGGTTAATACTTAATAATAAAAATAACCATTTAAAATATTAAATATAATTATAGTACATAAATTTTATACAACCCTGTCATCCATTAATTTAACTGTTCTTTCTTCTAGTTATTTTATTTTGTTTATTCAATTTACCCTACTTTATGTCTATTTTTATCTGTTATCTCACTGTCAATGAAATTAGTTTCAGTTTTGCGATGCATTCCGAGATCTCGTTTGATAACAAAGGGAAGAGAGATAAATCTTGCAATTACACACTGTGTACACTTTTTTTGAGCTGTGCGGTCTGCGGTCTGAGTTCTGCGTTTTCAAGGTCTGTGTTAACGAGACACCCGCGTTGCTTTGTACAATTGTACCAAAAATGATTTCATATAGTAGAAGTACTATAACGTTAAAATTGCGACAGCGCTCGTGAATTCTATATTTGCGGCTAAAGTCAGGGGCCAAGGAACAGAAATTCCGAGATCTCGTCTGACAACATCAATGACAAAAGAATGATAGATAAATCTGGTAATTACACACTGTATACACAAAGNAACGCAGACCGCAGACCGCACAGCTCGAAAAACGTGTACACAGTGTGTAATTACAAGATTTATCTCTCTTCCCTTTGTTATCAAACGAGATCTCGGAATGCGTCGCGAAACTGAAACTAATTTCATTGACAGTGAGATAACAGATAAAAATAGACGTAAAGTAGGGTAAATTGAATAAACAAAATAAAATAACTAGAAGAAAGAACAGTTAAATTAATGAATGACAGGGTTGTATAAAATTTATGTATTATTATATTTAATATTTTAAATGGTTATTTTTATTATTAAGTATTAACCACACCCACGACTTTTACCCACGCCCACACCCACACCCACGACTTGTACCCACGACCCACGACCATTAGTCAAACTCATCCCTGACCAAATTGGATTAGGTACCACTGTGAGTGCAGAAAAATAACCTCCTTCCCAGGGTCCCTCCTGTCCCCAATCCACTAGGATGAGGGATAGAGAGGTCAGGGGAGAAGAGAGATGGTGGGTTCACTTTAAATAGTGGTAAATTAAATTCAATCTTGTTGATGTGAAGTAATACTGATAATTAATTATTAGTAATGATCTATATTAAGCAAGCAGGGGGAAAAGATTATTTTCTATTTGATTTCTATCTGATTAGGTGTCCTCTCTATGCTGACTGTTCTTTATTCAAAGATGGGTCTGAAAGACAAGAGTGAGAAATGTTTCTACAAGCTATTAAGTCTGTCAGATAATGTGTGCAGAGATCATTCTCTTCCTGATGAGGTGCTTTATGGTCGAGCAGGGTACTTATTTTCATTGCTGTTTGTGCAAAAGCACTTGGGAGAAGAGAAAATTAGTGCCAGTACAATTAACCAGGTGATTAGTTTATAAACTTCTCAGTTTTTTTTGTGATCCTAGAAATGATATCATTGTAGAGGAGATACGGGTACATGAACTACGCGTATCTAAGATTAATTGCATAAGTAGGGCTCTCTACTGCGAGGATCGTGCATCATACGTATCTATAACCGCAGTTCAAAATATATGAACTTCATTTATTCATCATATCTGATTAATGCCTTAATAATAGACAACTGGCGTATCTTAGAAGTTTCTGGACACTGAAGCCTCAAAATTATTTGAATGGGTTAGAAGACTGAAATAACTGTCACAAATTGCACTAGTCAGAGTAATTACTAAACATCTTTTCACTTCACATGGACTCTCATCGATAGTATTCTTCTGTTAGGCTAGGCAGATCGATTGAATATTGTCTGCACTCATTGTATCTATATTTACCTGCTCATTTTGTTGTAAGAGTCGACTGAACTTTTGTCAACTTTAAAACTTTAAAGTATGTAATTTACCTTTTTTTGAAGTACAACTGTAAGCCTTATTGGCCACACTCACAGATAGGGCTTTTTAGGGCCAAGGAAAACAATTATACAATTAAATACTCCAAAAGTGATGAAGATGAATTTGTAGTGAACTGCCATGTAACCCAATCAGCCACCTTTTTACAGAGTTGGGCAAAAGAGTTGAACTTAGGGAAAGGAAAAAATCTAGCAATGTAGGATACTAGACTAACCAATCAAAGTAAAAGTCAGGCCCCTCAACCACTCTGCTTGACAACCTCATTTTAGTAAAGTCATGAATAAATGAAATAGAGTGTTAGTAATATCCATAATTTTGAGAAAAAAGTATATTCTAATGAATTGTCATGACATTGTAGGTCTGTCAAGCTATTTTAGATTCTGGTGAAAGGCTTGCAAAGCATGAGAGGAGCAGATCACCCTTAATGTACACATGGCACCACAAACATTATGTTGGTGCAGCACATGGTATTGTTGGAATCCTGTTCATGTTACTGCAAGTGAGCATGACTTTGCCTCCTAGAATTACACTATTGTTGCTATAATGGTGATCTCATAATTTTTTCCTGAAATCCATTTAATCAACTTAATTCTCTCTACAATGGCCAGCTTGGAAACAGAGGAAAGTGCCATTGTAGCGGCATTCCAGGGAGGGAGGGACATATCAAAAGTGAAATGACAGCTGTTTTTTTTTCTTTTTTCTAAAGGTATATAACTTTTTTCTTTTTAACAATGCTTATATTGGGTATGTTTATGTAGCACAATCTGCCCATAATCTTTATAACACGAAACTAAGAATTGATGTTAAGATAAAAAATATTCAAAAATTAATTTGGATATTGATCTTTTTACGAATTGCAAGACTTTGTCAACCCATTCAGTAAAATCTAACTTGGGAAACATCGAGAGCTGTGTTGAGTTTCTTATGTCAGAGCAGTTTTCATCTGGTAACTTTCCCTCCTCTCTTGAGAATGACACCGATAAGCTTATCCACTGGTGCCATGGAGCTCCTGGGGCAGTCCACCTTATGGTCAAAGCATACCAGGTAAATTCATCTCAATTGACCTCAACTGTTTGTTTTTGTTTTTTTTTTAACCTAATTATATCAAGTTATTGAAACTATCTTGCTACACTTGAGGGTGCAAATTATTACCAACAGGTCTTTGGAAAAGACAAGTACTTGAGTGCAGCTGTTAAGTGTGGAGATGTAATTTGGAGGCGAGGTTTACTAAAGAAAGGCTATGGCATATGCCATGGTGTAGCAGGGAATGCTTATGCTTTTTTGTGTTTATACAAGCAGACTGGAGATTCTAGGTACCTCCACCACGCCCTGAAGGTAGGTTGCAGCTTTGAACACTACTGATTGGTGTGAGGTACAAATTTATTATAAAAGAACAGGCAGGAATGCTGGTAAAGCTTGTGATTTTTGAAGACCAGTTCACCATCAACAAGGACTCTATAGGGCTGGTATAGTGTTCTCTAAGGCCAGTTTCAATTGACAAAAAAATTTCAACTGCATGCAAACACTGTTATTCAGGTTTGACCCACAGTGACCTGGCCACATAACTTGTACAAGGCAAAAATTGTTTTAATTACTGTTAATACTTTTGTTTTAGTTTGCAGAATGGTGTTTTGATTATGGTGAACATGGTTGTCGCACTCCAGACCGCCCTTACTCATTGTTTGAGGGTAGGTTAACATGAGTTGCATCTACATGTATCATTCAGATAGATTATTGCTGCTAGGTTTGTTCCTCTGCACCCTTCATAAATGTACTTACATGTGATGTGGTGGGACTGGAGAACAACTGGACAGTAAGGTATTTATCCATTCATGGTAATTGCCCTTAGAATATAATAGTCTTGGAGGCATGGATTGGATTCTCTATGAATCTTGGTTTGACAAAGCAGAATTAAGTAAATTAATGAGAAGTGTATACTGTCTACTTTTGATGACCGAAGATTAGTACCAGACCAATTGACCTTCCATTTTAGACCTTGAAAGGTACGTAATTTGGGAAATCAAAAATCCAATTAGTTTTTAATAACATTTCTTATTCATTTTGGAGTTAATAATCTGTTTTTCCAGGGATGGCTGGCACAGTTTACTTCTTAGCTGATATACTGGAACCTCACTCATCAAAGTTCCCAGCATTTGAGTGAAGAGAAATTACTTTGTGTTTACTCATAAGAGTAACCGTGTTAAGTTGGTGACATATACACAAATATCTGTTCCTAAGAAGACAACATTGTCAGCTTGAGCATCAGATAGATAATAATAATTTATCTTAAATCAAAAGTATTTGTGCTATTTTTCCATGTAATGGAATTAGTGTTGACTGAGAAATGTAAATATTTAAGGTAAATTATTTGGCTTTAGTTTTTGTTGATTTTTTATTCACTCCATGGGTGAGAATTTTAAAATAAAGGTAGTTTTACATTCAGTATTTTTCTTGACTGTTATTGTTCTGACAACTGGACTACCCTTGACTATTAGTTCCATGGGTTAATACATGATAACCAAAATAGCAGCACATACAACATTTTAAACCACAAATTAGAGACTCATTATTCCACAGTGACTATGAAAGGATTTGTTCCTGTTTGTCTCTCTTAAGCTGGAAGAGAGTTAAAATCCACCCTGTGCTGGGACTGTAATATTTGTGCATCTATTAACGAAATTAATATGTCTACAAATAACATATCAAGCAACAGAGAGAGCCAGTAAAATAATTTTACTTTATATATATGATAGGTTTATTCAATATCATCAATATCAT